TTTCCTCCACCTCTACATCCTACCTTCTACACCCTTCCCTCTACCCCTACACCCTTTCCTCTACCCCCTTCCCTCTATCCCCTATCCTCTACACCCATCCATCTACCATCTACACACTTCCCTCTTCCCCTACCTCTACATCCTTACTTCTACACCCTTCCCTCTACTCTCTAGACACTTCCTTCCATGTCTGCCCTCTACACACTTCCCCCTACCGCTTCACCTACCCCTACACCCTTCCTCTACACCGTCCTCTGCATCATTCACTCTTTACCTTATCCTCCCCTACCCTCAATTCTGTACACTCTGCCCTCTTCCCCTGCCTTCAATCGTCTACCTTCTACCCCTTACCCTCAATCGTTTACCGTCTACTTAAGGAGTTGTAGCAGAGGCTACTGAAATTATTTACATAGAGGTATGAGCTGTGGGAGATCAACATAATATACACATTTGATTGCAGTAGGATTAACTGTTAATCCTTATATTAATATAACATAAATAAATGAACGATTTCAAAAACAGACCCCTGAGGAACTCTTGGATTTGTAAATGTCAGAAAATAAATTGCAAATAACAACACCCTTTCAATTGTATCTGAAATGTTACTGGTCATCTGCCGACTATCCCATTCACTGTTAACCTTTGGCAACACTAAGTCTGCTCACACTTTTCTAATGCTAATTATATGTTGTGGTTAATACATTGGTAGAGGATTGAAAGGTCAGGTATATTAAGTCGCTCTTGTAAAAACATAATTTTCTTTAGATAACGGTTATAAGATATTTTTGTTTAATACGTCAAAAATGATATGATTAATTTAATTACACTAACATACTCTGTCTCCAGCACACATGCACGCATGCACAACACACATGAAGGCACGTCCTTAAATGACCTTAACTGTTAATAGGACGTTGAACAAAATAAAACCAAACCAAAACCAAACTTCAGAAGAAACCACATACTTCTTGATACGTGGAAAAGAGTTTTTGAATATTCCAAAAATAATATTCCGGAAGTAATAATTCTACGTTACCAAGCGTCCTTACCTGTCTCGAACAAAACTTGAGGGGACACTTTAATCCGCCCCCACTTGTAATGTGGAATCAAGACCACGGTATCCTTTTGTCACGTAAAGGTGGGGTCAACATTTGGCCCCCTCTTTGATTTCTTTTATTCTTTTGCCATATGTAACTACGTAAAAATGATAAATAACTGCATATATGATTGTTCATAATTACAACTGATAACCGTAGCGGACCTCCTTGCATAACACCAGGTTGAGTGACGGGGGTATCTCAACAAAATGACAGATAAATGTCACAGGAGAATGTTATTTTGAAAATGAATTACTGTTATTTTGATACTAAATATGTCATATTGGTATACATGAAGTAAGCGCAGTGATACTTTTAATTGGAAAAACATGCACAATTTTCACAAAATTCAAAATACAACCAACATTGTCAACTTGCCTATATATAGTTACAATGGTAGTCTATATTTTAAACTTCTTTAAAAACTTTCCATATATATATATATTCTGTCTACAGAATCACTTTTATGTAATATCAAAACCGGTAAAGTACTTTTTAGCATGCCAAACATGATCAAAGGCCAATTTCACATAATCATGGAGATTTGATTATCAATGCTTTTATGGTAAATACCAATACATTTCTGTTTTTGTAATATACCAAATCACTTTATTATATAACGTTTGTTTGAAAGTTATGCGCAACAGTAATAGCTCACGAATATGTATTCTGCCAGAGTAATCGTTCCTCTGGAGAACTACCTAAGGTTGAAATTGTGTTATAGACAACGATATGCAATAATATAAAAATAACAATATAATCTTAATAGTAAAACTATTATACACTTAAGTATACCCCCGCAACGAAGTTAGGACTGAAAGTCAATGAAAGTTTACAGATATGGTAATTACCCCATGATGTCGTGCATCAGGGTAGACATCAGTGCATCATGGTAGTATTTTTTCATTTCGACCATTTTTAAGGAGTTGAGGCCCTTTGTTTAAAATCTTTGTCTTGACAACTCTTTCTTAACTACTAGGACGATTTCAGCAAAACTGGTTCATCTGGGCTTACAAGATTTGTTATGTAAGAATGTTTGGCATTGGAAGTGAGTACAGGAAGTATGTCAGTGACCTATATACTTAAATAATTACTGATGGGTGACTGGATTGCTTAGCCCTTTGCTTACAGTTCTGGTTTATATAGGAGCGGCTGGTATTAGTTAACCTTTGGCTTACAGTTCTAGTTATTATTTTATTTTGCCTATTGCCCATACACTAATCAAAATATGAATGAATATTACATTATCTCTGGAGATATTAGCCAGGTGGCATATGAATAGTAGTTAGCGCCTGTTAATGTAGCTCCTGCGAATTCCTCAAAATTGTATTGATTAATGTATATATGCTAATTGTATAAATTGTTTATCTATGTACTGTAAAGCGCTTTAAAGTGGCTTGGGTTAGCTAGATAGGGCGCCATTGCAAATGTTGTATATTATTATTATTACTATTATTACTATTTGTTGCTCTCTAATCATAATGAAGCACGACAAAGTTGCTAGACTTCCTTGCTACACCTATTACGTGTTGATTTCACCTCTTTTGGTGATGTATCTTTAACGTATGATCAAAATATTTTAATAATATATAGCTATTCAAAATTTCATAAAATAAACTTAAAGATGAACAAATAATAAGTACCTAAATACATTTAGCGTGCCATGGTATCATTTTTCCCAACACACTAAAATATATGATCCTTTCTTTATTTATCTTTCTAATTTTATTGTTTTTGTTTTTTCAACTTTTTTCTTTATGAAACTATTTTCCAAGTTGTCCCTGTAATTGTCTGACATGTTTTTGTACATATATTTAGATATTATTACAAAATCGATGATACTTTGGCATAATTCAAACCTATGATATATCTATAGAAATATAACGGGAGAAAACCAGGTAAATAAGAACAAAGGCACATTGAAAAAACCTTAGATCTTAGTAACATACCACGAACATTTTGGCCAAAATACCTATTAATCAGTAAATATATTATGATTACTCATGCACTCAGTACAAATAAGTGCTCTAAAGCGGTTTAGCACTACACAACCTTTCTGGAAACACACGAAAGGAAAAAAGATTTTCCTGAATTAAATGACGAAATATTAAAAAGTAGTTTCCTAATAAACATCTCAGAAACATACTTTATGGTCTTCAGAAACACATTTAATATTCTAGCTGTCAATAATGAGTCACATGACAAATGCAAATTTTGTGGTGTCAACAAAATTTCAAGAAACCTTAAAACAGATTAATCAGCTGAAGACGCAACCCGTTATTTAAAAATTAACAGAATTTGTCTGTGTTTTCTCAAGTACATTATATATTAACAACCCTGCAGCGATCGGAGTGGGCGGATCAATTCAACGGTGGCTCAGTCTGTCGTTTAAACATTTGTCTGCATTTAGATGATACCAATGACAGGGTGGGGTTGTTATGAGAACTTGGTCCCTAGGTATTGCTGAAAGCCGTAGGCTCTGTTCTATAAACATCGAATATATTTGGACCGCCACACCAGTTAAATGTTTTATGTTCTTTTATTTAAGAAGGGGACGTTTGTCATGTTATAAAATTTATTCTAGCCCAAAATTTGTTTTGTAACACGTTTCAATAACCAAAAGATTTTTTGAGAGATAGATACTAGCAGAAGGTTTATACAAACATATGTCGGTCCCTGATGAGTGTTTTTCTCTCATCGACAGCACTTGTAATTTCGTAATTGTTGTATGAATTTATGTCATTTGGCATATAGTTATGCAATTCTCCTACAATGACATTTGTCATGAGAGTGGTAAATAACATATGATATTACGAAGTGTAAGATAATGTACAAGATTCCTGTTTAGCATTTCCAACATGGGACTTGGTAAAAGTTACTGTAAGGAAAATGAAGAGCAAAGAAGGTAAAAGCCATACTTTGTAGATCTGATCAAGATCCTTTCATCGTTGGCGTCAAGATCCTTCTAGGATCTCTTGTAATTCACACTATTACCTTACTAATTTGTTTATACCAGGATCTAATTTCAACATACTTGTCAGTCAACTAAAATGTATATAAACATATTTGATTTTTTTTTTATATAATAAATATTAATATCTTTGTTAATATTTTTTTGATGTTGTACTTGAAACGGGACAATTAAGTGCCGTGGATTTGGGAAGATTCTGTACATTATGGTTTTTTTTTTTTTTTTTTTTTTTTTTTTTTTTTTTTTTTTTTTTTTTTTTTTTTTTTTTTTTTTTTTTTTTTTTTTTTTTTTTTTTTTTTTTTTTTTTTTTTTTTTTTTTTTTTTTTTTTTTTTTTTTTTTTTTTTTTTTTTTTTTTTTTTTTTTTTTTTTTTTTTTTTTTTTTTTTTTTTTTTTTTTTTTTTTTTTTTTTTTTTTTTTTTTTTTTTTTTTTTTTTTTTTTTTTTTTTTTTTTTTTTTTTTTTTTTTTTTTTTTTTTTTTTTTTTTTTTTTTTTTTTTTTTTTTTTTTTTTTTTTTAATATCATCTACATTGTTTATGCAGGGATATTTTTCTATCAATCCCATAATTGGAAAAAAATCCTTTATTACCTGTATTAATATTTTCGTCTTTGTCGCCATGTCCTGTATTTTCGATGTGATTTTTTTCATTTGTTATAGAAGTATTATGTAATTAAAATTATTTGGTTTTGTTTGATAATAATAATAACAAAAAGACATGTGAAAGTAAAACCAATAAAAATCACATTACGAGATTGACAACAGAAGAGATCCACACCTTGGAAATGACATCAATTTGAACTAAAGACAAATTAAAAGAAACCTACGTAGTGTAGGCTTGGTCGGAAATGTTCACGACTCACTGCGCATGTGGATTTTTCTTCAGCAGAATATAAGGAGGAACTTACAACAGATCGTTCCTTTAGCGGAGCATTTCGAACACGAGGCACCACGAGAACACGAGTTCAAGAACTGGCTGTAAGTACACTATTTTACAATCTTTTTTTATTAACATGTCTTTTCTATCAGTTCAAATGCCACGACGTTAATATATAACAATTTGTATATTACATAGAGGTCGATAATAGGATTTTGGAACTTAATATTTCCTTATTTCGTAAACCGAGGTCAATAATATTTTAATTAAGGGACATTTAACAAGATCAAATACAAGAGATTAATTTTGAGCCCAACATAATACAATACATCTCCGGCACACACGCAGACATACACACATGAAGCTATCAACCAGGTGGCATAGGACTAGTAGTTAGCGCCAGATAAGGCAGCTCCTGCGAATTCCTCAAAATTGTTTTGATTAATGTATATGCTAATTGTATTTATTGTACAAATTGTATATCTATTTACTGTAAAGCGCTTTAGAGTGGCTTATTATAGCTAGATAGGGCGCTATATCAAATGTTGTTTATTATATTATTATTAATTGATCATATGGACGTTTAAGTGGGTTGGGGAAACTGCAACTATTTCAGCATGAAGATGATGACAAGGTTAATAAAGCTATACAGTACTGTATTTAAACAAATTGACATTCTACATAAAGTGCTTATGCTGATAATGTTATGTGTCAATATAATATTATATCAAGTTCAGCAAATCAGCTTTCAGCAAGGCCAGTAAGAGTACACAAAATTTGCAAGTCATAGAATAAATATACATTTGTAACTATTTGCTGTTATGTGCGCTTTAACCGGAAAACTGTATAATTATGAAAAATAATATAAATATTCTGGCTTAATGAAATTTCCTTTGACGTAAATAGTAGTGTTAACCCTTTAGTTTGCACAGTTATGCTCAGGCATTATGTCCATCATGTGTCATGCTCTTCATGACGAACTATCTAGTTCTTATCTCAATTGTGATTGACAATGCTATACATTGATCAGGTACTGTAAACGAGTGTTGTGTAGCGCACCCAAATCTTAGCGCATTCTCGAAAAGATAAGTAAGCATTTGTATGATTACTGTTGTTGATTAGGACCTCTGCATTCACTCCTAAAATAAGTATACCAAGACATACACCAAACTTAACGTTATTTTAACCTACGAACTTCTTGTTTGATTATAGCAAACTAGACCTAAAACCATGTCTGCACTTTGCATAAGCTGGTACCATTTAACAAAAAGCAGACAGACAAATGGAGAACTTGCGCGTCAATGATCTGAAATTGCTCTGCCGAAAAGTCACATACTTTCTTTATATTTGTACAGGGAAGCGAACATGACCATGCAGTCTAGAAAGGAATTAGCACTAATCATGCTCGTATATGGTGCATTGCTCAGCAGGACACAGGCTCGGACAATTTGTTCCTGTTATAATAATTTTGAGTCCAACTATATCAACCGACCACATGGTATGTAGATTGCAATACGAAGCTTATTAACATCATATACAATGTTTTGTTTGCTTCCCCCCCTTGAAATTGTTGCCAATAGAGTGATCAATATCTAAGTTGTTTTCACATAGTCATGAAGAAATCAAGACGTAAAGTAAAACTGTTTATATAAAATATATTGGTTGAAATATTACTATATGAAAGTTAATTTCATATTTGTCTTTGAATAATTTAATCTTGCTTGTAACAAGCATTTCCATTGGCTTGAACAATTATGTGATCAGCCCGTAACGTAAAACATGACGTCGCCGTTTGTAACGTCGCTTTTGATTGGCTGATACAGCGGCGTAATGATTTCTAAGAGAAAAGAGTCCATCAAAAAAAGTGGATTTCCACATGAATTGTGTATAGTAGATTAAATTATAAGGGTTGACTTGAATATATTTTTTATGTTATGGAGGTATAACACAAAAAACCGGAGTGTACTCTCATCATAAACCGATTCGCGGTTTATTTAGAGTACGATCCAGTTTTTTTGTGTTATACCTCCATAACATGAAATATATATTCAAGTTAATCCTTAAATAATTTCTGATTTGCCATACTTAGCGAACATGATATTATATTTATGAGGACTATATTTCTTTCACACAAAACAAAACAAAAACCAAATTTTGTTTTTCCATATTAGGGAATACATAGCTTGACTACATAAGCACAAACTTATACATGATTCTACAAGATCTAAATAGCATATGTATATGGCGAGATATGCCCGTAGACTATTTGAATTTATATGTGAATTTTAGCGGTATTATCATTTCGCTCATTCCCCGGTCATTCTTAGTTTCAAGTCAGACATTTTTGTTATAGATACAATCGTACATTCCCAGCAGTGTGAAGCTTGCAGCAACGAGGGTGAGATAAACAATGTATACTTATAATGCAAAAAAAATACCTGTAGGCACTCCACTTCTTTTCAATAATAGAGCACTGCCTCGGTACAAGATTTAAAAAGATTGAAGCGCTGGTTTCTTCCCCCGCACATTCTACCGTAAAAAATGTGTATAAGAAAGCCAATGTCTCGCGCCATGAAATGTATGATAATTTGATGACGCCTCTCTGATTCACTGCATAACGTGCTGGCTTTATAATCTTAAATCCGTTCGACTCAATACGTTTACAAAAAGTGGGACCATAGCCAATTGAATTGGGGCTAAAGCGTTTTCAATGTTAGAACATTGATCTGAAAGTTTTGATGCTAATACGCTCACAAAAGTAGGTCCATGGGCTGGCGGTATTATTCTTATACGTTTATAATAGTGGGTCCATGGTCTAGCGGTATGAAGTCTATTACTTTGATAAAGGCAAGTATATGGTTTGGGGATATCCAGTCTAATACTCTTGCAATGGTAGATCCATGCTTCTGCAGTTTTAGATCTAATAAGTTAACAATAGTAGAATCACGTTCTGGTGGAATTAAGTCTTGCACTTTTACAATATTAAGATCATTTTCTGGCGGTTTTAAGTCTAACAATTTTGCAGTGGTAGGTAGTTGAAAGTCTAATACGTTTACAATACCAGGATTATAGTTTCGGACATCTAATATTTTACAATGAAATGTTTATGGTCTTGCGGTATTAAGTCTAATACTTTTACAGTGAAAGGTATATGGTCTGGCGGTATTTAGTCTAATACTTTTACAATGAAAGGTATATGGTCTGGCAGTATTAAGACTAATACTTTTACAATGTAAAGTATATGGTCTGGCGGTATTACGTCTAATACTTTTACAATGAAAGGTATATGGTCTGGCGGTATTACGTCTAATACTTTTACAATGAAAGATATATGGTCTGGCGGTATTACGTCTAACACTTTTACAATGAAAGGTATATGGTCTGGCGGTATTAAGTCTAACACTTTTACAATGAAACGTATATGGTCGGGCAGTATTGAGTCTCATACTTTTACAATGAAAGATATATGGTCTGGCAGTATTGAGTCTTATACTTTTACAATGAAAGGTATATGGTCTGGCTGTATTAATACTAATACTTTTACAAGGAAAGGTATATGGTCTGGCGGTATTGAGTCTCATACTTTTACAATGAGAGGTATATGGTCTGGCAGTATTGAGTCTTATACTTTTACAATGAAAGGTATATGGTCTGGCGGTATTTAGTCTAATACTTTTACAATGAAAGGTATATGGTATGGCGGTATTGAGTCTTATACTTTTACAATGAAAGGTATATGGTATGGCGGTATTGAGTCTTATACTTTTACAATGAAAGGTATATGGTCTGGCGGTATTTAGTCTAATACTTTTACAATGAAAGGTATATGGTATGGCGGTATTGAGTCTTATACTTTTACAATGAAAGGTATATGGTATGGCGGTATTGAGTCTTATACTTTTACAATGAAAGGTATATGGTCTGGCGGTATTTAGTCTAATACTTTTACAATGAAAGGTATATGGTCTGGCGGTATTGAGTCTAATACTTTTACAATGAAAGGTTTATGGTCTGGCGGTATTAAGTCTAATACTTTAACAATGAAAAGTATGTGGTCTGGCGGTATTAAGTCTAACACTTTTACAATAAAAGGTAAATGGTCTGGCGGTATTAAGTCTAAAACTTTAACAATGAAAGGTATGTGGTCTGGCGGTATTAAGTCTAACACTTTTACAATGAAAGGTAAATGGTCTGGCGGTATTAAGTCTAACACTTTTACAATGAAAGGTATCTGGTCTGGCGGTATTAAGTCTAACACTTTTACAATGAAAGATATATGGTCTGGCGGTATTAAATATAATACTTTACAATGAAAGGTATATGGTCTGGCGGTATTAAGTCTAATATTTTACAATGAAAGGTATGTGGTTTGGCGGTATTAAGTCTAACACTTTTACAATGAAAGATATATGGTCCGGCGGTATTTAGTCTAATATTTTACAATGTAAAGTATATTGTCTGGCGGTATTAAGTCTAACACTTTTACAATGAAATGTATGCGGTCTGGCGGTATTTGGTCTAATACTTTTACAATGTAAAGTATATGGTCTGGCGGTATTTAGTCTAATATTTTACAATGAACGGTAAATGGTTTGGCGGTATTAAGTCTAATACCTTTACAACGGTAGATATATGGTTGACTCTGCAGTGGTAAGTCCAATACGTTTACAGTAGCAAGATCATGGTCTGGTGGAAATGAGGCTAATATGTTATCAGTGGTAAGTCCATGTTATTGCATGTATCTATATGTAGGATATTTATGGTATAAAGACATTACTATAGTTACTGACTTTATTGGGGCTAATACGTCGTCAACAGCAGGAACTTAGTGTTCAACACACTATGTTTATAATGATAGGACGCTCACTTATTCTGTAGAGAGCGTAACCCCTGGATATCAAGGATGCATAGGACCTTGATATCGTGGAGTCGGACACTTCTAAAATGGAATGATCATGGTCTGATTTGTCGGAGCTAAAATGTTTCTAATGGTATGACCTTAGTCTGCCTGTATTGAGGCTTAAATTGTTCTAATGGTAGCACTTTAGCCTGGCTGTATTGAGGCTCAAATGGTTCTAATGGTAGGACCCTAGTCTGTCTGTTATTGCGGTTCGAACATTTCTAATGGTAGGTCATGGTCTTGCTGTATAAAGCTCAATGGTTCTAATGGTAGACTTGGTCTGGCTGTTTTGAGACTAAAACATTTCTAATGATAATACTTGTTCTTGCTGTATTAAGGCTTAAATGGTTCGAATGGTAGGACTTGGTCTGTCTGTATTATGGCTTAAATGGCTCTAATGGTAAGACTTGGTCTGGCTGTATTGAGGCTAAACTGTTTCGAATGATAGGACTTGGTCTTGCGGTATTAAGGCTTAATGTTTCGAATGGTAGAACCTCGATCTGACTGTATTGATGCTTATACTGCTATTAAAGTAGGGACAATAAGGTGGAATGTTCTGCTATTCACTACACTGAATTCATTTATCAATTCTGGCGAAAGGGAGTAAATGGAGAGGGGGATGGGCAGGGCTTGCGCTGTCGGTAGCCAAAGTAGTCATCGGCTATTTTTATTTTATGTTGGCTACTAAAATACAAAGTGGCTACTAAATTGGCTAATAGGTTTAAAAATAAATGTGAAAAGATCTGTAACTTGGGGGTAATAGTACTGCAAGTCATATCTATTATAGTTAAGTAAAACGTTGTTATTTCAAGTCTATATGATTGTGCACGTCTCCCTTTAGTTCATCTAGCTTCTCTGACTGACACGTGTGATAACCACCATGCAGAATCATTAACACAGGAACATGGAGCATGCAGCGGACCGACCTCACCTATAAGATACTATCGATGTGATTTAGGAGAGGGTAAGCTCATTTGTATTATATGTATTGTTGTATTTGGAAAAAAAGCTACAGGAACCTTGTTGGGTAATATGAAGACGGTTACTTAGGAAGCCACTGCCGAAAAGAAAGAGAAAGAAAGGGAAAAAAGAAAAGTCAGATCCCAAGTGTTTCTGTAGGGGTAGCAGATTAAGTTTGGTCTCTTCAATAACCTCTAAGCAGGAAAAAACCTGTTCTGAGGTGCCTCTCATTAGTCGCCTCTAGATAACCTGTACAGGGTGGGCAGAAGCCAAGATCTTTAGGAAAATAGCGGAGCAGTGGTGACTTTTCTAAATCGTAAGTACATACTAGAGAATTTATGTTTGATCTGGACTTTGTTGCATATCATTATACATAATTTATAAACACTTTTTAATCCTTTATTTCGGTTAAGAACAACAACAAACACTGCATTTTATCTTGTTTGTTTGTTTGTTCGTTTACAAAATCCGTTAAACTAGATTCAGTTTTTGAAAATCATTCGGGAATTTCTGTCATAATTTTAAACTTTCGTCAAGCTATGATTGGTCTCTTATTATCCCGACTGTAGGACAGGAAGTTCCCAACAGTTTCAGATTTAATTGTTTCCACTTTATACTCTCGTATTAATGTGCTCGCGGTAAATGAAGCAAAGAATTAAACCTATATCAGATTAAAAAGTAATGTACAATCGATCGAAATATCATTTTTAATATCATGAATCTGAAGGAAAAGTCCCAAAAATCGTTAAAACATATTTCCAGTAATGTAACGGTTTTCCCTGACCTTTCGAATTCAAGTACAAGATTTAAGCTTCCTACATTTTAGTTTATATTAAAGTAGCCTATAGAGTCACTGGTCCAAACTACAGATTATCTATCCGGTAGGCCCCTCCCCCCCCCCCCCTTAAAAATAAAAACAAATCGCACTTAAGCAAGACTACTACTTGAAATACGATCATATATCAATGCGCAAAGTTACCAGATGGGCATGGTTACCGGATGTGGCTGTATTGAATTAAAAGTTATATTTGAATGTGATATTTTCGTATCAGTAAAGGTCATTTGATTTTCATCGCCTCCACTCAACGAAATTAAAATTTGCGACATTATTGAAATATCTTTGACATAGTTGCATAGCATACCACTCTTCAATATTATTTCAAAACAATAGCTAATTGGATAGGTCTAGGGCAACAACGTCGAAGGAAAAGCTGGACAAGTGAGAAATAGGTACATTAGTAAATGTATACAATCATACAGTGGTCCATTAGTTTTTCATTATTCTGCACGAGAGAAATGTTACAGATATTCTTTCAAAAGGACCTATGTTTTTACTATTTTATCTCTTATATAGTAAGGTTTATTTTCAAAGATGTTTTATACAATAGAGTGTAGTCATACATATATACAACGATACTGACAAAAATGTTAAATAAAGTCATAACATCACTAAAACATATTTTATACAATGTATACATATATATTAAGTATTTTACCACGGACGAATATATTTGTTATTTAAATTCAACAGACCTGAGGGTCCAATTACAGAATTGATAACAATGATAACAATAATATAGTACAATATCACAGTTAAAGGCATGTGCTGAGGACCGGAAACATTTTCTTTGAGCTAAAGTACCATTTTTTAGATTTGTTATGGTATAAGGCATAAAAACATGCTGGTCTTTACGCATTAAGTATTTAATAATGGTCAAATCCCCCTTCAACAAGGTTTTCAGAAATATTTGACAATATGGGCAATAATGGAACTAGCCTATACTTTGAAAAACAGTTTCTCAGACAAGACTTGAAATTGGAATCACAGTTCAATCACGAGAACTCATGTCAAAAAGTGGATGAATCGTCCAAAAAATTGAAAAGTTATATATTGGTCTATATTAAATAGCCCCCTTTACTTGAGACCTTCTGACAAGTTTTACTTCGATACCAATATTACTGCCTTTGATTGAAAAGATTGGGATGAATTTCACAATCAGTACCAAACAATGCAATTACACATACCGCATGTTTAATTGCAGGGTTATTGCCCTTTGTAAACACGTGTATGTCTGCCTGTCTGTTCGTTGTTGTAGGAGTTCAATTCGTTGCAAATAACCCCATATGAAAACTTGCATCAAGTGAAACACCATGTTACGATATGGTAGGGAATAATGGCCCTGTAAACACTGTAATGAAGACAGCATAATAATATTGCATTATTACACATACAAATGTGATATTTACTGTCATGACAATAATAACAAGCATCTAAATATACTGATTATTTTACAGGTTAATTATGCTGTCTTATATTATTTTATCGAAAGGAAACAGAAGTTCCATGAACCAACATAAAACTATGCAATATAGACTACAATTAATTTCCCTCAAAGCTGTAAAAGAGTTGTTACACGAACAATTACTTCCCCAATGCCATAGGTGAAACAGAAAATATTTTGGATCGTAACAAAAATACATAAACATTTATCTCATCAGCAAATATTGTCAATTGACAGAGCAAGCGTTATTTCTCACCTCCATTTTGTTTACCTGTAGGAGTGTACACCTGCAGGATACCAAGGAGATTATACAGGTGCGGACTAGTCGCCATACCCTTCTACAGCTCTATACTCCTGAAATATCGCCCCAGTGACTCTTCTGTTAACCAATCATCGACGCCACTGGTGTTGCTCAATAACGTGTCAAAACCCATGATTTCTCTTGGAAACGGTTGCTCCAAAGCAACGGTCTGCATTGACCCTCTGCGTGTTTTACATAATGCACTAAGTGTCATAACTCTCAGCATTACCGAAAGTGAAGAGGTGATAGTGAATGACGTGATTGCAACTGTGGTTTATTATAATGAATGTCATCAAAGGCCAAGGGCTTCCACTGTCCCTCAGTTTCCGTTCAACATCGCTCCTTTCAATCGTATAGAATCTGCTGCACAAGAACAGATTGAAATGTTGCGGTCGGGATAACAACCTTTTGTCAAAAGACTCCCCCGGCATGAAAAATAAGCATACAAAACGATCATTAAAATGATAAAACTACAATTCTTTGTATGTCTGCTTTATTGTGCAGCTGTATGTAGGAGTGTTCTTCATTGTTAGCAACCTATATATATTACCAAAGGAAAAATTACGTATGTGTCTTATGTTCAACTTTCTTATATAATCTTATTTTGCATTCAAAATATGTTTTTGCTAGGCGAGTCGACCACGATTCGAAATTATTCATTTTTTTTTTGAAAAACGATTATGTACACATGCACCATCCGTAAATTCTTCGAGGATAAAGAATTAAAATTCAAATGAACCGAAAACTCTAAATTCATTTTTAGGAATCTCAGGTTTATTCGAAGCTGAATTATTTTCGAAGCCATTTATGGGTTTGAAGCCATTTAAACGGTTCAACCGATCAAAATTGCCGTTAAAAGTCCTAATTATTAAGATCTATATTTAAACAGGTTTTGATTAATCTAAATGACACCTTTCATTAAAAAATCAGGCATTTTCAATTAAGAAATAAATATCGATTTATATATACATAACAAACGGCTTAGCATCGTAGCACGACAGCCGGTCAACAGTACATACCCCGCCGACAACATGACAAACATATAGGCAGCTTATTTCCAGAGCATGTTTTCAAAGCCGGATTATTTTCGAGACATATTTGTGAGGAATCCATTGCTAATTTTATATTTTCGAGATTTTGAGGTTCAATGTATATGCATAATAAAATCTCGTTATTTTAGATAGTCTGTTCCCGATATTTATACATTTTTTTCAGATTACTGATTTATATAACCTGCTACACAGACCACCTCTATTAACATAAATACAGTAAAACCTCGTTTACCGCAAACATATTTCAAAGTCCTCTTTTTGTTTTCTTACTAATTCCTGTCTATATTTCCCTTAATCTATTACTAAACCCCTTTATGACACAACTATGGACAAATAGTGGCTGTAAAACGAAGATTTTGTTGTGTAACTGTATTAAGAGGCCACTTGTAATGAGATACCACTTTCAGTGCAACAAATTTTGTTATGCAACGATTGCGGTCAATTCGATGGAAGTACAGACAAACCTGTTTAATTCTTCCTATGCATGAGTGGACATTATGATTTGATAATATATGAAATTTACTTTGAAATGTGATAGATTGACAATATTAACAAGGGCGTTAACTATCATACATAAGCTCAGTAGCATGACACGTTGCGAAACACACGAAACTATAAAATGAAGAATACACACCATTTCATAGGTTTCCAATTACTGTAAGTGTAGTTATTTTAACGGACAAAACAATTAGCGTGTTATCGAATTTTAACAAATTAGCGCATTGGTGAATTAGTACTCTCATAATTTAAGCAATATGATTTTTACCATTTTACAGAGACTTCAATTAGCGCAATGTTTACAGCGAAAAGCGCTAACATAACATTGTTACGTACGTTTGCCGTAGTACATGGACGCAAAATATAGATTTGATTGTCTGTTCTATTTAGTACAACTCTGGATCCTATATATAACCGTCCAGAAAGCGAATTCCCCCGAGGATAAGTGCCGGCATTCATAATGTTCTTGCTTATGTTGATGTTCATGTTGCAGTCCCAATGATCTATAAACAAATGACCCGTCCTTAAATAAACTCAGCTGTTAATGGCACCTTCCTTAGCAACACCTCACTTTTGGCATTATTGTTGACCGTTCGCCCATGAGAGGAAGACAATGGATTTTGTCCCCAAAGGTTGCGACATACCACAGTCCTTCAAAATGGAAGTTGTTATTCCCCTTCTAAACGTTCGGCATTAAGGGGAATGGCAACAACTGGTTAACCTTGTCAGTATAACGTGACCGGGCGAAATGCTGTGCTTGGTGCCTTTGGCATGATATTTCAGTAAGATAACACTATAAAGTCGGCATTAGAGCCCCGCTATCACTTTGCAGCAAATGCACCAACATATCCCACCTCTAGCACACATACACACATGGAGGCTCGTCCTGAAATGACCTTAAATGTTGATAGGCCGTTAAACCCTATAAAACCGATCCAAACCAAGCTCCTTGGCACGGTATATAGTCCATAAACATTGTTCTCGATACATGAACATTATAGTGTTTGGCTCTCACAATGAAGTGCAATATTTTTCTAAATCATTCTTAAACTACTCTTGCATAATTATGACATAACAACAGTTGCTGACGTATTTTTAGTGTCGTATAATTCTAACCAGAGATAATAAATAGACTTTCCCTCCACCAGCTGGTATATCAGTGACTTTCTTATTGTCAGTTCGATCTCCACTATGTTAAAGTGTTAACTGTTGCCTGTTTCACAATGTTTCCGTAGACGAAATAGATTCCTGATATACACACAATTCCTAACTGTCTCTTACAGTCCCCATCAATAAAACATATCGGGAGAGGTCTCAATTCTATAGAAATAACGATCACGATCTCCTCTGACTCTCATTATAATTGGCCCAGCTACACTCATTATAAGGTTACAAACGTCACTAGTAAGGATACCAGTGGTAGGTGGAATATTCAAATTCGAATATGACAAAACAAGAACATCTGACATCATTTGTTAAAATACAATATCATATATACAATTTAAACCTCATTACATATAAACGGCATATACAAAAAGATAGTAACATGCAGAATTATTGCTTGCGTTTTGTTTCCGTTTACTCAAACATATCTGTAAATTCACAGGAAGCAATTTGTATATATTATTTTTGTTGTATTGATGTACTCTTATAAATATTCGTTATATGTGTTTTGTCCAGAACTCTGTATGTCGCAAAAGAAATGAACATGCCACCTGCAGAATATGGGGTAGTTTATTCGGTATTGTGCGCTTAGAAGACATTGGAGCACCACCAATAGGGGCGCTGTGTACTACTGCATGTATATCGTAATAGGCGATTATTGTTGAAAATCCCAAATCCCTACTGTACCCCGCCCCATCTCATCCCTTGGCAGCTTAGTGTCCTCTATTCACCACTTACATTAGAAAACAATAAAACCAGTGTTTCGGTACATTAACTGATATCCACAAGAATGAACTATTTCAATTAAACATTATTGGATATTGAAGGTTTTTTGTCAATAGATCGCATAGTTTTAGCCAGTAACGTCAATTAATCCACTATGCATTTATTTTGTTTGTGATGTTTTCAAAAAATGATCAATATGTTTTGATATCCGTTTGCTTTTGTTTAAAAAAATACATGCAGGTTTTCAATTTGATATTGAAATTACACTAATTAAAAAAATACTAATTTTGTCTTCACACAGAAATAAATACTAATTATGTCTTTCACACTGATATATCGCTCTTGGCCCTTCAGGAAGTCATTTCCTGACGGTTCAAGTTTTGATTGCTGTCATTGAGTATTTTACGCTTGCTACTTATTAAAAACGGTAAAGACACGTGGATCTGCTGATATATTTATAAATGTTTCTCTTGTGAGCATCTAACAACGTCTCTTAAGTATTGAGCGTTTTTTTTACTGATCCCTCATAGAGAAAGCATCTTTAAAGGTCTACGTTAACAATATTTGTCCATGTCATATAAAAAGAATCGGCGGTCGTGCTAGTTTTACTGAAATATATATGGGGATGAATTGTCGAACACATTATAAGCATTAATTCAAACTCCCCCGCGTCTGTGCTGTGCTCATTTGTTATGTCAGGACGTCAGCTACTTGTTCGAAAGTTAGGTAGTTTTAAGAAAACTAGAAAAAAGATTTAAGTAACGTTCCTGTGTTTTGTCCAGATGATGACGAAGAGAAGATAGTGAGTGAAAAGCAACTCACCACAAGAACAACTGACGACCTAGTACTTGTATTGGCAAAGATAAATAATTACATTTCAATAATCAATGATGTTTTCGAAAGACAACCTTGATGTTAAAAAAGACATGAAAATGCATATTCGACAAAACAAACTGCCCTTCAGGAAATCACTTTTAATTGCTTTTACTTTAAAAATATATCTACAAAGATCTTTACATTACTTTAGGTGCATGTATATACTCTATTTCTAGAGACCAAAAATAAAATCGTTTTAACGATTAAACTTGTGTAAAGTGTTTATGATATCTCAGTAGAAACACTAGTTTTGATCACTTCCACTGTTAGTAATTTAATCCCCCGATGTCTGTTTTCATTAGAAGACTCTGGGAGCTCGGTTAAAATATTTACTCACTTTCTGTACCGATCCGACAATGCATATACTCATTATTATTTAGTACCACTTGAATGAAGGTGTGTTTCACGATGTTTTAAAACTTAATTCATTTTATTTCACAATTGAATATGTAATATTTCTTATATTATATATCTTTACTGGGTCTGCCCTTGTGTTGCAAAGGCATAACTCGGCCCACATGGAATTAAGTTTGATTTTCAGAAAGTTTGGTTTAGTTTGGTTTTATTTTAGTTAACGTCCTATTAACAGCCAAGGTCATTTAAGGACGCACCTCCATGTGTGTTGTGTATGCGTGCATATGTGTATGTGTGCCGGAGACAGGGTATGTTGTAGTATTTGCCTCCTTGTAATAGCGCGGATCTGATACCGACTTTTCATGCCGAAGGCACCCAACCCAGCATCCGCCCGGTAACATTATACTGACAACGGATGATCAAGGTGTTGCCATTACCCTTAATGCTGAACGTTAAGCCGGTAATAACAACTACCATTTTGAAGGACTTTGGTATGTCCCGGCCTGGGTACAGAACCCATTAAAGCCAGAAAGGAAGGCGCTTGGAAATAAAAGGGAGATCAGAGTAGAGAAGAAGCCAAATATATTAAATGTTGCAATGAGTGCAGCAGATTCATTATCAAAAGCAAATCCCCAATTCTGCAGGGGATTCCCACATTAGTCGCTACTTACAAAACATGCAGTATGTAACATCAGATATATTCTTTTTTCAATCCCCGACCTGCAGGGGGGATGGATTTTCAGAAGAACAGAAATCACCCTCGTACTGTCTAAAATATCACATTAAAGGTAATTTGCATCTTCTTGTGATTTCAGTACCCTCCATATTCTATGGATCTCCGTTAGAGTGATATTCGATCTAGTTTATTATTCATGAAGACTACAGTGTATAACTGGGATTTTTCGTCCTGTACTCTTCATATGAGTTGAAGCTATCTAGGGAAAACCAGGAAAGATAACAGTTGAATCGTCCATTTATATATAATGTCTCTTTCAAAATTATATTTTATTATAAATTTTAAAACTTTTGATAGCCGATGGGATCAGGGGTGGGAGTAACGATTGCGTTTTACTTTTAAAGAACTCCACTATGTGTCATTTTCTAAAATCCCCCTTGGACACAATAATTTACATTTTTACTACATACTACCATGTAGAAAGTTTGATGTGATTTAAGACTTCATTTAAAGGCCAACACATTTAATGAGATTAGTAGAGGTTGTCTAGTTCATAATGTGACCGCTAACATGTAATCTGAAAACATTAACATTGTCTCGTCATGAACAGGTTATCCATATGTTTTTTATATTAAAACCATTTAAATATGAATTAATTCAAGTATTTGTTTGAATGGATCATTTATTTGATATTTGACATTCCAGATAACTGCTTGTAAATTATACTGTAGTTGTTTACTAGTCGCCTTCCGTCGTACCATTTAAACTTAAGTGCTTTTGTCACGAGTCTCTGCTTGGCATTGTGCTTTTCTAGTTGTTGACGGACATAGGTTTACCTATTGCTTTTTACCGACCGATCTCTTTGAAACTTAGAATACATTATACTCATGATATGAAGTTGTGTCTCCCTTAAACAAAATTTGATTCGACAATTTTTTCCAAAAGTTATTGCCCGTTGTTCATTTCAGTATTTGATTTGTTGTCCTGAGATCTCCTCCTACATTTTTTGATGGATTTCTTTGAAACTTAGTAGGATAAATAATCATGATATGTTGTGTTTCCTTGAAAGGAATTTTGATTCGACAATTGTTGCAAAAGTTATTGCCCTTTGTTTATTTCAGTATTTGATTTTTGTCCGGCAATCTTCTTCTACATTTTTCAACGGATCTCTTTGAAACTTGGTATACATCATAATCATGATATGACGTTTTGTCTGCCGTAAAAGAATTTTGATTCGACAATTTTTGCAAAAGTTATTGTCCTTTGTTCATTTCAGTATTTGATTTTCTCATACATTTTTTTTACAGCAAGTCAGCTAACCACTCTTAGAATGATGCAGACCTTATTTCAATGTAAGAAAGTATATAACACTATATGGCATTCGACGTGCGTATATTGTTCCGCCCCGCGGTACTCTTGTTGGTGTATATATGGTTATAGTTACTTTTATATTCCTGCTTTGACCGAAGTTAGGCGTATATAGTTCTCGCTTCGTCCGTCCGGCCGTGCGTCTGTCAGGCGGTCTGATTGTGATTTCCGGAGTATATCGCAGCCGCTGTTCCATGAATAGTTTGGTTTGGTTTGGTTTTCTATTGTTTAACGTTCTATTAACAGCTTATGTCATTCAAGGACGTGCCTCCATATGTGTTATGTAAGCATGAATGCGTGTATGTGTGGTGCAGACATGGTATGTTGGTGTATTTGCCTCCTATTATAGCGCGGATTTGATGCCGACTTTAAAGTGCTATCTTACTAACATACCATGCCGAAGGCAACCAGGACAGCATTCCTTAAATAATCTTATATGTTAATAGGACGTCTAGCAAAATAAAACCAAACCAAAACCAAACATAAAAAGGTGTTGCTTACTAAAATCCGGTCATATGACCTCCATTTGACCTTTTTTTGGCTTTGACCTTGAATATCCCAGGCACTGTTTCAACGGACACATCGTAGGAAGGGTGTGTGTCGAATTATAAAATAAAGCCGCAATGTCCTTTAACCAAAGGGCATGAGTTAGCATCACCTTGATTTTAACCACCAAGCCCTATTTATTGAGAAACAGATTTTGTTGGAGCAGATTATCCGTAATGCCCACGCTTCAAGTTATATCACAGTTTGCAAAAAGACGTTATCAGTTTCCATTTCACAATCAGGAATTAAACTAAGTCGTTTAAATATCACCGTTACAATACCATAGTCCATTCGCTACACTTAAGCAAAAGTATTTATCAAAGTAATAATAAGTTAAACTTTGTTTCTAGAAGGTAGCAAATTACATTTGAAACGCAAAGTCAATGTACAGTTACTATTAGAAACAAACAATAAAAAAGCACTTTCATTTACAATATTCATTAGATACAGCTATGCCAGTTATTTTTAATGATAATCATTGTTTGTTATAGTTTTTTTTAATTGTTATGTACTATATCATTTGAGCGTGGTTTGGAGGTGGGGGATGGGGGATTTCCGTTCAGTGTGATTATGCTTTTTGGAATACCAAATCATACGCATCACTCAAAACTCATAAAACAAAGAATTCACTCTATATTTATTAAGTAAAGCGGACAGCAAACAAAAAAACAAATGGGATACAAAGTATATTATATGCAGATATTCTTATTATGAAAAATCACAAAATGGCAAACATCTTAGTCAAACAAGTGTCTTTATACATGTCAAACAAAAATATGTTTGTAACTCAAAATTTAACCCTTGGCATTGTAAACAAACAGGTATTTGTCGCACATCGTAATCCAACAAGCGTTTTTTTATCAATCGTAATTAAAGAAGTGTTTGTCAAGCATCGTAATCCAACAATAGTTTGCTCTACATCGTAATCCAACAAATGCTTGCCCTACATCGCAATCCAACAAATGTTTGTCCTACATCGCAATCCAACAAATGTTTGCCCTACATAGTTATCCAACAAATTTTTGTTCTACATCGTAATCCAACAAATGTTTGCCCTACATCTCAATTTGCCCTACATCGCAATCCAACAAGCGTTTTTTATCAATCGTAATCGAAGAAGTTTTCGTTAAGAATCGTAATCCAATATGTGGTTATAAACGCCATGTAACGTACAATGATATCTATATGTAAATATCCGATGCAACATTAGAAGCAAAGAGTATTTATTGCTTTGAACAGGGATATTTTTGCGTGAGAACACCAAAATCGTGATCAAGAGCATTTAGCAGCGACCGGCTGTACGTATTTCAGCCCGTAATTATGTTGGTTGTGTACGGATTTAATTCATTTTGTTACATCGTAATTACCTGTGAAAAGAAAGATCTACGGGAAGATATTACAACATTTGCTCTTATCTTGAATAGTTAGCGTACATCTAGTCTCACTGTAAAAGAAAAGGTCGTTTAAAGAATATTCTTCTCAATCATTCGTTCAACAACATTAACAGAATATTGTCGAATCTTGACACTTAACACAAATAGATGCTTAATTACTCAGAAAAGTGCATTATACTGTAGGATGGGGCGATAACATACTATTTTATATTTGACTAAATGTCTGAATACGTTCAAATCTGCTTTTCTGATTGTACCCTTTCACAAACCCATTGTAAAGGGATCGGAAACTCTCTCAATCTTCAAAATTATTTCAAAACAAATCAATATTTTTTTTAAATGTACAAAGGGGCATTACACCATGTAAGGAGCATCAAAAAGGTCATTTACAGTGTACAACGCTATGTCTAGATATTCATATGACAAAAAATGTAAACTCCGATTACGGGAAAATGGTAAATACAAATCTGCTGTAATAAAATGGAAGATTTCACGCGTGAAATATTCTAAGCATGCGACATGTATTCAGAACTGATAATGCAAATAAACAGTGTCAGAATCACTCAGTATTTGACCTCTAAATATACTTGAAAATTGAAAACACAAATCAATAAATATATACAAATATCTCTCAGGAAAATCGTGCATACATGCTCAATATTAAAGTAAATATAAAAATCAAACCAAATGCTGATATGCCATCACCTCGGTGCCAAAAAGACCCCAATAATATATTGTTATGATGTAATGATATATATTTTACAGCGCCTATATTTCGTTGAAAGTTTATTCTCGCGATTATCTCAGGATGGCATAACAACCGCACTATATTAACCATTCTAATTAACTGCAGTCCTGATAGAAAGATATTTTCAGCTTTATATATTTTACCCATGAATATGAATGGTCTATGCACTATGACAAAGCAATATATAAAGATATCCAGAATACTAAAATCTTCATCGGAGATTGATTTTAATTCTATTTTAGAAAATTCACCATTAACATTGAGTAAATCACACACACATATGATAGACACCTTTGTTTTGTCCTAACGGGTTGTCTGAACTGTTAAATATTAATGCTTTGTCATTAGTATCATTTCTACGTTTTTTTTTCTGGTTCCAATAACATTTTTTTTTTTTAGTTAATTATAAAGTGTCAGTGAACTTGTGATAACATTAATCCTATCTTATATATGTACATGTGTGACGGAAGGTGTGTGAATGTCCAGAGTGACATGAACTTATTTCACACGTTCATATTGTCCTTCCTAATCATGGTGACCAAATCTGTGCTGTTGTATGCCAGTCCATCCGACAAACCTTCATCGCTGACAACAGCCTGCCAATGGTTGCCTTCGTCTGGAATCTTTCTATCCAATACCGGAAGAGAGCACTCATCCTTGCCTGGAAGGTGACAGGGTGACCAAGTTCATGCTGCTCTATTATTGGAGGTGACAATCCGAGTTCCAGGCACAGGTTAAAGAAAGCACTGCCAACATTGGTGACGATTTTCTTTATCTCAGCATCAGATGGGGTTCTATTCCAGACATCGCTTGGAACTGTATCTGCAAGCACAATATTTTTTCCTTTAAGTCATATTCCCTGTGGAATAGTTTAAAAACAACTGATTACAGAAAATTCTACATATACCTGCAAGGTACTGAAATGTATTTATGAAAAGATTAACCTACAGCGAACATTTACAGTCTTTTCCTCCTCATTTCCTCATGTAAGATTAACGATTGATCAGTTAATACAAAGAATCATTATTATAAATAATTAGATATGATTAACATACATGTGTGCAAACTTTTCACGAATGAAATACTATGTATGATGTCAAAAAAGTAGTTGGTGCAATTAATCAAGGCTTATGCAAAAATTCAGGCTGTGACTTTTATTGAACCACATATTCATACGTTTTAAAGACGAAAATTGTAACAACTGGTTAGCCTTATTTATGGAATAAATGCCTAGCGTTCACAGAAAATATCGTAAAAAATGTAAGAGGGTTTTGTTTTCACCCGAATTCAAGAGGAAAGCACTAAACGACCGGAACAAAATAGAAAACATTCCTTAAAAACCATAGAAACATACATATGCTGTATCACAATACGTAGTTTAAGTTTGCATATGTCGTGTTTTTTATTATGTGCAGGGTAATTCTTCCTCTTACCTTGATCTTGTGATTCCTCGTCAGTTTCTAACACTTCGTTGATACGGTCAGCTGCCATCTCAGCCTCCGTCATAGCTCGCTGGATGTCCTGGAACGTCTTATTCGGGTAAATGTTTGTCCATTTGAGAAACATCTTTGTAATCAGAGTGATTCCTGCCAAGCTTTGTGACTCCCATTTGGTTGTCTGGATCTCTGGGTAAGGAAGACCAAGCTGAATGAAAAGGCATTCACATCTGGATGCGTCGACCAGACGGGACAACCGACCAAGTTCCCTGGGCGTCGGCCTTCTGTTAGACATGTTTGCGTCACCCTCCGTCGTTTCTAAACCAATCACAGGACAACTAATAGTAAGATGTATTGCAATGTGTGAACGTCTTTGCAAAGATAACAATTGAAGTTCTCATTGTTTACATTAGTGTCACTCAATCACCTATTCGATAGGTTGAAGTCAAATATACAACTTCATGCGACAAGTATTTGTCACAAATATGTACAACGAGACTTTTCCAATTTATGTTTACATGCTGCGAAGATTAGGGAAATGTATATTATGATTTTGAACGAGTTGATCTTTATCAAAATATTGGGTCAAGGAAGGCAGGAATCTTTAAAACATTTATAAAAGTTGACAACAACTGTAACTAAGCGTATTTTGTTCTTCGGTAGAAACAAAATGTTGTACAATGGAATAGAGTATAGAGAGCATTTTAAAATATACATAACAAGTGATCTCCATATGGGCGTTAAAATCGTTGGTTGTGCATTAGAAATTTACCTTATTTCGATCGGGCTTCCGCCTCGGTTGGGATTTTGTTACAGAATCTTAACCCTCGACTGAGATAACCCGATCTCGCTCAGTTACAGGTTATAGATTGTATTAGACTAGGCCCGTTTCCCTCGGTCTCCAGTTCGGAAACATACCTAGTATCGGGGTAGCAGTATCTTAATATATTATCCCCCAAGCCAATATTTTAAGAAGTAGTAATCTCGACTTACGGACAGTGTTTCGTACACCTGTTATTTGTATACTGATGCTATTGAAGGTGAAGCAATGTTTAAAACATGATATATATTGTCCTGATATTGACCATTTATAACACCTTGTGAAGTAGAAATATCCACACTATATTTAGAAGATATCCAATATAATTCCATGCTCACAGCAATACATCCCATATATGATTAAACACTTCACTCACTTCATTGATTCACATATGAAACGGCAGAATTTCTATCAAATCTATTCAATCCGCTGGGCTAGACAAATATCAATCGTATACATACAAGTATAAACTGAAATATTCCAAAGTTATTTTCAAATTCCAACGAGGCAATTATTACACTCATACATTGAATCGGTTTACTTCTTACTCTTTGATCATTTACAGACAAAGTTTGAATTCGTCCTTACCTGCGACGTTTTCTATGCCTTCAACCGTCGCTAAGTGCTAAAAAACACAAACGTTATCAAGAATAAATATTTCTTTTGCACTTTTAACCGTCATAATTTGTGCATGGTTAAAATATCTAAAACAAACTTCGAAAATAATGAATGCATTCGTTTACCTGTAGTCACCTTTCTACATGTATAATACTTGCAAAGGAAGATTAAGACCAATAGTGAATTTCTAGAGGAAACAAATATCTATTTTATCGCTCACGAAATACTGGTTTCATAATTATGATTTAGTGACAGCTTAAAAGTTTAATGCATTTCAGCTACATGTATAATAGAGAAGAACAGTTTCACTATTTTCCACTTTAGCTATTCATTTTTCTAAATGAAAAATGAAGCAACTACATCTATAAGTTTCAACGTACACAATCAAAGTCTTTGCTATACGTCAATTGGACATTATTTTTGATTTGATGCTGTGCATTTGTTGATCCCGGATGTCAACTGCGTTAAAATGCAGACTTTTACAATGGAAACATTTTGAGTTAGCCTCCTGATGTGTCTCTTTTTTTCGTTCTGTTTTTTCAACATTCAAATTGAACGACTATAACTCTGCGAAATACATCGCAACCTAACGTATTTTTGCGGATTGCGTCCTTTTAAGAATTACTTATAACGGACAGTAGTGCATACTGGCAATTATGTATTTGTGTCACCCAGTGCTGCTACAGTTTATTTTAAAACGATATGCGAATTATAAATATAAGCATGTTACCTGCTCGATGTCCCAAAAAGTGGTGTCCGATTTTGTTAGTCGATGTTGTCCTCGGCATTCTACACCTTTACAGGGCACGCCGCTCTCTGAGTGGATGATGCCGCAAAGTTGTACTGGGGTGTCGTATGGACTCAGGTGGAAGTTGCAGTGCAACTGGTGTGCGAACTGGAAGTGTAGCTGGTTACTCATTTGCAACGTGTCTCGTAGAATCTGTTCGATTTTTAGCCTAATACATGGTCCGGTATCTGCGGGAAGATTGGTCCCTCTCAGACTGATCACAGTCATGGCGATTGTTGACCTTACTGCGTGCATTGACACGATCACCCTGCAAAGGTCGTCGACCTCGAAACACCCAAAACCCGAATATAGACAAGTTGTATTGCCTGTCGTCGTCTGATCACGTTCAGCTGCGTCCGCGAAACCTTGCATTGACAGTGACGTTGCTTTGTACGTCCTCATGACCTGGGCAAAGATTCTGTGAAACAGTTCATCTGGTATTGAAACATCTTTGAACACGAAGCATAAGGTTTTAGAGACAAAGAGATTGCTTTGTTGGACCTTCTCTGTTATACCGTCAACGTTTTGCAGTTCCACAAGTTTGCTCGGAATGGTGTACGTTTCACTGAACTGTGCATTTTCTGTAGTGGTTCCAGACATCAGTATTCTTACTATCAGCCCGAACTTTTCCATCAGAGCCAGGAGATGGGACTTATGAGGACGGAAATGTTCGTTCTTTTTCAGGCTGAGAAGACCATCGATCAACTCGTGGGTCAACTCGCCCTTTATCGTGTACAGCTCTAAATCTCGGATGAGCAGAAGGTCGTCTTTTGGGAGAAACTGGTCGTCGGTTATCAAGATGCTGAAAAAATCAGCAAGCCACTGGGGGTCGTTGATAATGAAGCCAAACTCCCGAAAATAAATAACAGACCTTGTACAATGCATGTACCTACACAAAATAAATAAAGGTATTATACATACATGTAACTTGTATTTAGTTACATGACCAAATCGTTTACCCCCCTCCCCCTCAAAAAATAAACCCTGGTCTAATAGATGTTAAGATAGTTTTGAAATCTACATTCAACTTCAAATGGTGTTATTAGCATCAAAAAATCGTATCACATCCACCTTCGATATTTCATAATCATACTGAATTGATATTTTTGTTTCAATTCAATTATTCATATTCAAGAAAGACAAACAATAAATGAATGGATAAAATAGTTTCCAGCTGTTTTTGAATGTATTGTATTGTGTCAACTGGAACAATCCATAGTGAAAAGTGTAGTTTTATAAAATAAATACACAATACTGCCGAGTAATGAATTTTCTGTTAATAAAACTTCTGTTGACAGTTTGATATTTCGATATTTCTGAGTTGTCATTGTAACAGACGTATCTGAAGCAGGTGGATTTGGGGAAAAATAGGATACAAGCATTGTTAGCACTGTATCTCATGCTATGGTCTGTCATAATTGTCGTTATAGTCAGTTTAAATAACTCCATTAGTCCTTAAAAGAGCATTTTTTATAAGGACACAAATACAATAGAATTTAGAAAAAATAGATATTGAAATCTGACAACAATGTGTTCATTTTTTAAATACCTTCCTCAGTTTCGATATGTGTCTGTTTTCTTGTTCTCAAAATGGTTAACAATGCACTATGTATTATTCCTTAAAATATACACGAACACTTTTATTAAAACTGTCACAACATTTAAATCATGTGGAAAACAAAGTTGGAGCCATAAAGATATGTTCTTTTTTCTTCGTACAAAAATACGAATAAGAATTGATAACACCAAACACATAACTGTTCATTAAACGATGATACCAATGCTATGTTAACCATTACGATATCTGTCTACGTAACACCTTTGAAGACATACTAACTCTAGTGCCAGTTTCATTTCCTCCTCGTCTGTTAAAGGGGCTACAGACTTTTTGTTCACTTCAATGACCGTCGCTAAAGTGAGTATCCTGATTCCTTCTTCTCTGGCTTTTAGTAAGTCCATCTCCAGCTTTAACCATCTGGTCGGGAGCTCTCTGTCCCACTGATCTTGATGATTAGCTGCGTCTGTAATTAAACCTCGCAGTTTTTTCAGTTCTGTGTCGTCCTTTCCAAGGCTGTTATCGGCTGTACAGAACTTGACGAATTTGTGAGCTGAAAGTTCGGGGAATTTTGCAATGCTGGACCTTATTGTCTCTACCAGTTGAGCATAGTCCTGGAATGGTAATAAATACAATATCTTAGTTTTTATTTTTTTGTATTAAAAACAAAAGCATATGAGTTTGTCAAGGTAGAGAAGCACTCAAGGACAATTAATTTGTATCAGAGCAGCATACAATGTGTACAAAAATACATTTATTTTTATCTTAGCAAAATATCTGTATATAATTAAACATTCGTTTGTCATTATTGTTTTATGATAATATTGGGAATGTGTTCCATGCACAATCAATATTTATCATTTTTACCGTAGTCGTTCTCTTAAACTCATCCAGGAAGGTACCGACGAAAATAAGTGGAGGATCATGTGGCTTCAATTTTGGCGCATTGAGTTCAACTGACGAAAATGTGCCAATCAATCGGATCCATTTCTTTAGTCTATCTGGACTCAAAAAAAATTCATGATTATTAAAAAGCAAAGGTGTCTATTGGAAATACGGATACATATATGTTTTTTTTATTTAAACATATACCATTCATCTCTATAGGCAAAGAGTTAAAAACTAGTGTATACACCTCCAACTTAAATACGACATATGTGTTATTTCCGACCAGAATAATTTCTTTAGTTCGAAGGAGGGTCTAAAAATAAGTTTAATTTCAACGTTTGTTTGTTTGTTATAGGAACAGAAGGAGAGGGGGAATGCATCCCATTTATGTTAAGAACTTGAAAATGTAATAAATGACTGTTTATTTTCAAATTACATAATGCGTTAAGTATCTTTTACGGAATAAAAGCTACGGCTCGGAAAAGATTATAAATGAGAATTGTCAGAACAGCATATTGCAGATTAAGAATCCACAGAATTTAAAGAGTACCTGGGCTGGTACGGAGTGTTCTAGGTGTCAAAGAAATCGATTGCATGGGTCTCTGGTTGAATTGCGTCGAAATATTTTCCCCATATATAGGAATTATATTAAATAAGCATGTGTTAACTAAGAGTTAACGCTTAAGTTGCATGCTCGTGATTATATATATATACTGACACGCAAAAGAAACACAACCTCCAAATTTCGGTATCTATTTTTAATATTTCATCAAAAGTTCCGTTTATGTAACAAAGACAATTACAGATACACGTCTATGCTATTGGATTATTCAGTTAATTTAGCGCTAGCGAAAATCACTTTGGCAAGAAAACAGAAAAGACTGAACTAAACAACTATGGTCATTTAGGGCCATTGTGATTTTGTTTTTTAAACAGACATGATGCGAGTAGCGTAGATAAAATCAGATAAAAATGAATATGTTTAAAAGCATTAGCACGGTATGTGTAAATAATTAAAATATTAAAGGGTTTAAAGTAATAAAAGTTGAAGAGGTAACGAAAAAGATAATATAACATGTGATGTGTAGATACCGTCAATTATCATAAAGTAGAGATCATAAAAGTAAAACTGATTAACATATGTATATCAATAAATTAAAAATATAACTTTTCTGTCTCAGAAATGATTTTCCCGTTTGATGCGTTATGTATACAAATAAAAGCTAATGTGTGGTTACAGTGTTATTTGCCTGATTAGGGAATCTCTCCTGTGGAATGACGTTTGACAAACGTTAACTCGATTTTTTATTTCAGTATATTACCCACGATACGTTCGTTTTTGGTAACATATTGTTTTTTGCAAGTTACATGTAGCTCCTACTGCAATGTATAATAATATAAGATACTAATATATTCATGTTGATCTAAATCTGATTAATTTATCAAGAAAATATTCATGCACAGCTAGTTTCAAACACAGCCTAACCCGTAAAATGTAAACAAAATAAGCATTTTAGCATAGCCCTATCAAGGATATACTGTAACTTCCTGTAGCAAAGGAACTCAAATTGATTATAATCTTAGACTGGCTGTTCATCAGTTCCATCCCTGGAATCAGAGTTTCTTTTTTCACGCCAAATCTATATTCTTACTGGAGCAATTGCAATGTCCATAGAACACCGTAGTCTGATTTCTATCTGTACACTTTTCCCCAAAAAATATAGAAATGGGATGCAAAAGGATTGCAACCTCGCTTTCTGTACTTTTTCATATTTTTCATTGACGCTTGTCAATCAGAACACGCTTAGATGTTCATCATGGCCAAGGGTCAGGCATTTGCTTCGTATTAGATTTTTCTTCTTTTCTCTGATTACATCTGCTATACCCGGAGGTGTCAACTAACCAACCAAAGCTAAACATTACAGTAAATCATTCAACATTGTTATTAAATCAAACTAACGAAACAAAATCAACACTTATCCTTCAATTTTTTCAAAGACACCGCTTCATTACCTTACCGTGTAATTCATCGCAATAATGTTCAAATAAGATGTATGATTAAAGTATGATTACAATGTACACTACACAATATTATCATTTATATATACAATACTAAAGATATACATTTTCATTCCACACCCTAACAATCTAAAAAAATGTATCCATCTTTTTACTGTACCCTCACAGTTCTACATTTTCGTCAATATAAACAAATAGAATTCAGAGATTCTTTTTTGTCCTTGTTACCACCTGTTGTTAAATATTATGCTGTGTTTTTATATCTACAAATCAGTTTTTATTTATAGTCTTCGTTTCTCTCTCCACCGATGTTTTAAAGGCTGGCCTCATTCTTGATGATGATAAGATACTAGTATTTTTTATTTTTTTTTATAAACGGGAAAACAAGTCGATTGACATTTATTTGTTATTTGCAAGATTAATGGTGTTAAGGTATCTTTGAACTTTTGAATATGCATTGAAAGGAGGAAAATTGGATCGTTCATTTACTTACCAGTTTCCAACTTGTCTTTGAGAAAGTCTGTCAGCCTGAAGACTAGAAGGTATACACCATGTGATGATATGAACACATTGTGTGAAGCTTGAAATGACGTGTGTCCACCCATATCCCACAGAGATAGAAACGCTCCATCAGCTTTTGCCTCAAATGAAGCTGATTTGACTTCCAACGATTCGCGGTATGTTTTATATGCGTCTGCTGCAAGGTTTTCTGACAAAGGTAATCCGAATGAGCCGTCTTGGGACCCTATAATTGCATACAATGAAACATGAGAACAAATCTCAATGAAGATCGTTTTTTATTTGTTTACTTGGTTAAGTTATATGTAATATATTTTGTACGACATAAAGAAACGTTTCCATTGTGAAGTCAGTTAAAATGGAATCAATATAAACTACAGGATGCATAATATATGTCATTGATTACATACTGTTTTATCCATTGACTTTATGTAAAGTATCCGTAAATTACCTGCTTGTAAACCAGCTTCTCTTTCTAATGATTCTAAGTTTTTCACCAATGCACCCATACGTGTCGTAATCACACTCGTAGGCGATTGGTCAGCATTACACCCCCATTCTTTGGATTTCCAGTCAATGAAGAACCATGCAGGGTGATAAACAGCTCCCTCAGTTGCCTTACGCAACTTTATGTCGACATCTTCGTTCTTGACCCGGCCACAGAGGGTCGTCTTCCCGGCACCCTCTCGACCGGTGAAGACTACGCGTATGTGCCGGTATCTCTCCTTTAATCCCTTAAACAACGCTACGTACTTTATATACGCATGTGTTCCTGTAAAGGAAATTATTAAAATATTTACACATATTCGATTAATAAAAAGAAGTTTTAAAAAGACAAGAACAATCAAATAAAAACGTTTCAATGTCGAAGAATTAAGATACATAACCCTGACATAGGTTCCAAAGGGAAAATTTCTTTCTGCACCGAATGCAATTTTCGTCTTTAGGTCTACCGTCAAATATATGAGCTTACATAATAATAACTTATGTCATATATGTTCTATGATGATAACCAGTCTTCATTTATTGTAAAAACGGATATACCGAAGACTGAAATCTGGTCATGGCGGTAACTTAACAGTGTGAATGAAACGTAGATTGAAACCTCTTAAATGGAAACTGACGGTTATTCAAGTTTTCTGTTTGTCTGTCTAAATATTCACGAAACTTAGAACAAGTGTTGGAAAAGAGAACCAAATATGTAACTAAGATTGTCAGGAATGCTACTACTGGGGAAACTATAAAAAAAAGTATGTTTTAATTTTTGGTATGGCCAAATCTAACAAAAAAGTATTCGACCAAAACTTTTTATTATATTTCAATGACATTTTTCGATTTTAACAGTTATAATTGTAGACGCAAGTAATTCTGGATTATTATTATATACACTGATCAATGAGAGGTGTATGTGTTTGGTACCGTTCTAGCAAATATATCCCTTCTTCTGATAAAAATATGTATATAGCAAATCATAAACAGACAACCTTACCAGATGGAACCCCCATGTTCGCCATCAATATTTATTAGATATATAAACACACTTTCTTCAGAAACATTTCATTACCTACGAACATGTGCATAAACATGACTATGCAAAATGATTTGTTGAACTAACCAACTAATAGTCTAGAAAAATGTGTACTATCTAAAACAAGCTATATTATGAATCTCTTGATATCAGGAAACCTATGAATAGACTTTGTATTATACAGAGCCATTTATCAACTTTCATTACATGACGTCAAAAGCTCAAACAATTTAGCACTGAAACAAACGTCAATTGGTGTGATATCATGATGACTATGTTAAAGTCATCACGATAAAAATCACATAATAATTGAGTCTTTTGCAATATAATTAGATCTAGAAACTAAAACCATATATACAATACCCTGCCACTTAACGTGTAAATTGATGCACATACGTACTTAGAATTATTCTATGTTATCTACATGTTTGAAATATCTGATACACGTTCAAGAGCATGAGGAATCTTTATCGTCTTAAATGCTTTGTTTTTATCTCCATGCAATATATTATCACGTGATGATTATTGCATTATACGCAAACGCTTATAACGGTAGAAGCTTATTGAATTATTACTAGGTCATGAAAGTTGTGTCTTTTTCAGATGCAATGATTTAAGTTTAAATAAACAAGTAAAATATGTATGATTGCCAAATATCATTGAAAGCATGAACTTGAACAGGAGATGCACACAAGCATTTGTAATGGAATCAAAGTTGTTAGTTCTCGACTGTTGTTATATCCGGTAATAACCAGGAGGATTTGAAACACATAATCAATATCACTTTCGATATCACCCACGTCACTATTTATTACATTCATATTCATAATTTGTATAATATGTATTTAAAAACTGTTTACTTTTAAAAACAGAAGACTATATTTTTTTCAGACTGCTCCGGAAAGTCACTGAAATTTTAGAGTTAATGCTCCATTTGAACCATAGGATTTTTCTTTATCTTTCTGAGCAGGGTTCTGTCATCAATATGATAATGTCGAATTTTTGGTGTTAACTCACTTGTATGCATTTGTATATAATATTATGTATTTTTCTAGAACTATTTTTGTGAGTATTTAGCTTTACAATTAATTCATATCTATATATATATAAGTTTAGATAAGATATTGTATATCTAAATTAACGGCATAAATGACAACAAATGTAAATTATTCGCATTGATTTTCTTATTTTGCTGTATTTTGAAATAATGGAAGATCTGGATTTTTTCTGATTATGCAAGCATTGAATACAGTTTTATGAAGAGTGTGTCTAGTTTAGGTTATGTCTTTGTTGCAACAATTACGAGATTTATAAATGATATTTCCATTCGGATGTTAACATAGAAACGGTAATTATTCGAGGTTTTCATACTATTTATTATATGACTGTACATTTCATGTTGCATTCTTCAAATCCGTATACAATGGTAAATTGAAAAATTAATATGTTTTTTTTTGCAAGTTTGGAATTTCTAAACTGATTATCACTGAACCACAAAACTATCCACATAGTAACATATTTTGCATGTCGATGTCACAATTGTCATAATGTATTAATGTATCGTTTTCCCTCACCTATATCACTTTGAATATATAAAATAACACACTCCTATGTAAATGCTATTGCATCAAATTTAAAGGCTAATCTAGGTGAAAGCTTTTATGGGACAAGGTTGTGACTTCCTTCCAAATGCAAATGTTTTATTAAATTTAACAAGGAAGTAAATCGTGTATACATGTAATAGCCAAATAGGAAAACCATTACAAATTTGGAAATATAGGTCAGATTGTATATACTTATATTCATTACGGAACAAAAGATAGTATTTACTGTTGTTATATCCAGTTATAAAAGGGCAGATGTAAACGAACATGATCAGTATTGTAAGGACCACCACACACATTAATTAAACTAGTCATATAAAAAATCATTGAAAATGATACGCCTCGTTTCATTTTAAAGAATTGTTTCAAGTTGGGAAGATTCATGTATTCATGACACATTACGAATCATTGCGGATATTATAGAGCTACAACGACAGTACCTTAGAGTGGAACAATACACACCGGTCCTGCCGGACTGGCACATAATATCCTCTGACATATTATTGTATCTAAATTTATGAAAATATGAGGGGAAATGTAGGGAAAAACTATATCTGCACAGCATTATTCAGTAAATTTGAAAAGTACACCTGTGGTATGATGAAAGGAGAAACATGCTGTACTTGACTAACTTCAGCTGAACGTATTTATATATTTCAGATATATAAAGAGGATATGTAACAGTGTCTTCAGTAATTCCAAACACATTTTACGAGTGTGGCTAATATTTTAATATCTTTCACGAATGCGCAGCGAAATATAGTCCTCTCTGTAAAAAAAAAAAAAAAAATCAAATTATTATCATTATTTAATTATTTAGTAAAAGTCCCGTCATATCAACTCAGATCACTACGCGTTGTTGATAAGCGCCAAATCCTCAACGGTGGGGACTGGGGAAAATGCAGAGTTGTTTTTCACCACTGATCTTGATGATAAAATACCAACACCACCTAACAGTTATATAAGTTATATTTATAACCCTGGTTCTTCTAAACTTCCTGTCAATCGCTCATCCTATCTCGGGACTTGGAGACGCTGAATTGATGACCTGCATAGTCTGCTGGCTTTCATGAAAATGAAAATTAACTGTGGAATTAAATGTTATGTTTCCCCTTAAAGAATAATTCCCTCTTGATAGGTAAAAGATGATTATTCTGCGCAGTAGAATGGGCTGATGTCTCAGAAGGATTTTCTCGAGGTCTGCGTAGCGTCAAGCTAACCAGGCTTTTACCAGGTGTAATATCTCCCATGGTAGTTTGTTATCGGTGTTTTGATTGGTCAAATCAGAAAAGTGATATCAAAGTCGAACGATGCTAAAGCCAATATCTAACAATACTTTTTAACACATTCATTGTTAAATCAAACTAATAATCGAGTCAATATAAGTTTAGTCAACAGATTTGAATTGAAAACAACAAGCTGTGTTTCAATATAATCAGGTTTTATCAAAGATAAAGGTTTCATAATTCCTTGAGTATTCCGATAGTATTTAGTTGGCCTAAGTCATTTCGATAATTGCATATTTTTTACTATTTAACTTACTGTGTACATTTTGAATTAATCTTAGAAAAACACGCACACAGATATTGTGGATACTAGGTTATGCGTTCAATCTTTAATATGACAGGATGTCACAATAAACAGTGTCAGGAAATAATCGTAAACTTTACAAGTTCTTTTCTTCATAACTTCTGAAGCTTTTTTCGTATCCCTTAACTTATGACACTTTGAATATTAACTCACTTCTATGTAAACGAAATGTAATAAAAAAAGTTAATATGATTGTTTTTCTTCCAATAACTTATCAAGATGAATGCTTATGATGTGGATAAGATATGAATGATGTTGCCGTTTTCAGTAATTTCAATATGTAAGTAAAGTCTGTTAAACGAAATTATTTGTACTTCATTGAAAAGAAGACGTCAGGTAGTTAACAAAGACATTTGGAATAAAAAGCTAAGCTGCTACTTTCGATCTGTTGTGTGATCCATTCATAGCCAGGCAGTTATGAAACACAACAGAAATAATACTCAACATGACCTGATTAATCACTTAAGGTATTGTTTAACGCTCCAATACCCAACAAACTCTTTAACTCATCAATTGTTAAGTCAAACTAATAAGAGAGTCAATGTTATTTTAATCAATAGAATTTGAATTGAAAACGACAAGCTTTGTTCAATATAATCAGCTTTTATCAAATATAAAAGGGTTCATAATCCCTTCATCATACCGTATCAGTTAGTTTGACTAAATATAAACTAAGTCATTTTTATTATTGGACATTTTGTTACTTTTCAACTCATTGTGTACATTTTGTATATTTATTTATCTTATAAATGCACGTACACATAGATATTGTGGATACTAAGTGTTACGTTTATTCTTTAATAGATTGGGATTTCACAATACTCACTGTCACGAAATTATCGTAAACGTAAACATTTCACTTCCTCACCTTTTCTGAAGTCATAACGTAGCATTTTTACGTATCCCCTTACATATCCCACTTTCAATATTATCTCAATTCTACATGAGATGCACTAAGCTGTCAATATGATTGATTTCCCCAATCATTGAGCAAGATGATTGCTTATGATGTGGACAAGACATAAATGATGTAACCGTTTTCAGTAATTTCAATATGTAAGTATAGTTCCTATGGTTGCCAAAACGAAATTATATGTACTTATTTGAAAAGATGAGGTCAGTTAGTTAATACAAACATTTGGAATAAAATGCACAGTTGTTATTTACGATCTGTAGTTAGATCCAGTCATAGCCAGGCAGATATGAAAAACAACAGACAAAACCTCATCATTATTACCTGATTAATCACCTTAGGTATTGTTTAACGCTCCAATATCCAACAAAATCTTTAACACACCAATTGATTAACAAACTAATAATCGAACTTTAGTCAAGACAGTTTTAATTGAAAACGACAAGCCTTGTTTCAATATAATCAGGTTTTATCAAAGATAAAGGGTTCATAATTCCTTGAGCATACCTTATTTTTTCGTTGTACTAGATAAAAACTACAAGTCATTTTAACTGTTGGATATTTTGTTACTTTTCAAAACCCTGTGTACATTTTGCTTTTATATTTATCTTAGAAATGCATGTTCACATAGAGATTGTGAATACTAAATAATACGTTTATTCTTTAATAGAATGGGATTTCACAATACTCACTGTTACGAAATCATCGTAAACGTAAACATTTCACTTATTCACATCTTCTGAAGTTTGTTAATGTCATAAATATGATAACGTAGCATTTTTACGTATCCCCTTACATATACCACTTTCAATATTATCTCACTTCTACAGGAGATGTACTAAGCTGTCAATATGATTGATTTCCCAAACC